TGGTTGTTGTGTGGAGTGTGTGTGTGTGGTATGTTGGTGTGTTGTGTGTGTGGTGTATGGTTGTGTGTGTATGTTTGTGTGTCTGTGTGTGGTGTATGTTGTTGTGTGTGGGTGTGTGTGTTGGTGTGTGTGTGTGTGTGTGTGGTGTGGTGTGTGTGTGTGTTGTGTGTGTGGTGTGTTGTGTTTGTGTGTGTGTGTGTGTGTGTGTGTGTTGTGTGTTGTGTGGTGTATGTGTGTGTGTGTTGTTTGTGTGTGTTGCTGTGTTGTTGTGTGTGTGTGTTGTGTTGTGTGTGGTGTGGGTGTGTGTGTGGTGTGGGCTGTGTGTGTGTGGGGTGGTGTGTGGGGCGTGTGAGGTGTGGGTGTGGTGTGTGGCTGTGGTGGTGGAGGGTGGGGGTGTTTGTGGTGGGGTGTGTGGGGTGGGGTGTTTTGTGTGGGGTATTTTGTGTGTTGGTGTGTGGGTATGTGTGGGTGATGTGTGTGTGTCTGTGTGTGTGTGTGTGGTGGTGTATGGTTGTGTGTATGTTTGTGTGTGTGTGTGTGTCTGTGTGTGGTGTGTGGTGTCGTGTGGTTGTGTATGTTTGGTGTGTTGTGTTTGTGGTGTGTGTTGTGTGTGGTGTGTGTGTGTCTGTGTGTGTGTGTTGTGTGTGCGTGTGTGTGTGTGTGTGTGTGTGTGTGTTGTTAGTTTTTTGTGTCTGTGTGTGTGTGTATGTTTGTGTGTATGTTTGTGTGTCTGTGTGTGTGTGTATGTTTGTGTGTACAGTCATGGCCAAAATTGTTGGCACCCCTGAAATTTTTCCAGAAAATGAAGTATTTCTCACAGAAAAGTATTGAAATTACACAGTTTTGCTATGCACATGTTTATTTCCTTTGTGTGTATTGGAATAACACAAAAAAAACAGGAAAAAAGCAAATTTGACATAATTTCACACAAAACTCAAAAAATGGGCCGGACAAAATGATTGTCACCCTTAACTTAATATTTAGTTGCACACCCTTTGGAAAAAATAACTGAAATCAGTCGCTTCCTATAACCATCAATAAGCTTCTTACACCTCTCACCCGGAATTTTGGACCACTCTTCTTTTGCAAACTGCTCCAGGTCTCTCATATTGGATGGGTGCCTTTTCCCAACAGCAATTTTAAGATCTCTCCACAGGTGTTCAATGGGATTAAGATCTGGACTCATTGCTGGCCACTTCAGAACTCTCCAGCGCTTTGTTGCCATCCATTTCTGGGTGCTTTTTGAAGTATGTTTGGGGTCATTGTCCTGCTGGAAGACCCATGATCTCGGACGCAAACCCAGCTTTCTGACACTGGGCCCTACATTGCGACCCAAAATCCTTTGGTAATCCTCAGATTTCATGATGCCTTGCACACAGTCAAGGCACCCAGTGCCAGAGGCAGCAAAACAACCCCAAAACATCTTTGAACCTCCACCATATTTGACTGTAGGTACTGTGTTATTTTCTTTGAAGGCTTCATTACATTTTCGGTAAACAGTAGAACGATGTGCTTTACCAAAAAGCTCTATCTTGGTCTCATCTGTCCATAAGACATTCTCCCAGAAGGAATTTGGCTTACTCATGTACATTTTGGCAAACTGTAGTCTTGCTTTTTTATGTCTCTGTGTCAGCAGTGGGGTCCTCCTGGGTCTCCTGCCATAGCGTTTCATTTCATTCAAATTTCGACGTATAGTTCGCGCTGACACTGATGCACCCTGAGCCTGCAGGACAGCTTGAATTTCTTTGGAACTTGTTTGGGGCTGCTTATCCACCATCCGGACTATCCTGCGTTGCAACCTTTCATCAATTTTTCTCTTCCGTCCACGTCCAGGGAGATTAGCTACAGTGCCATGGGTTGCAAACTTCTTGATCATGTTGCGCACTGTGGACAAAGGAACATCTAGATCTCTGGAGATGGACTTGTAACCTTGAGATTGTTGATATTTTTCCACAATTTTGGTTCTCAAGTCCTCAGACAGTTCTCTTTTCCTCTTTCTGTTCTCCATGCTTAGTGTGGCACACACAGAAACACAATGCAAAGACTGAGTCAACTTCTCTCCTTTTTATCTGCTTTCAGGTGTGATTTTTAGATTGCCCACACCTGTTACTTGCCCCAGGTGAGTTTAAAGGAGCATCACATGCTTGGAACAAACTTATTTATCCACAATTTTGAAAGGGTGCCAATAACTTTGTCCGGCCCATTTTTTTAGTTTTGTGTGAAATTATGTCAAATTTGCTTTTTTCCTGTTTTTTTTGTGTTATTCCAATACACACAAAGGAAATAAACATGTGCATAGCAAAACATGTGTAATTTCAATACTTTTCTGTGAGAAATACTTCATTTTCTGGAAAAATTTCAGGGGTGCCAACAATTTTGGCCATGACTGTATGTTTGTGTGTCTGTGTGTGTCTCTGTGTGTGTGTGTGTGTGTGTGTGTGTGTGTGTGTGTGTGTGTGTGTGTGTGTGTGTGTGTGTGTGTGTGTGTGTTGTGTGTGTATGTTTGTGTGTCTGTGTGTGTGTCTGTGTGTGTCTGTGTGTGTGTTGTGTGTGTCTGTGTGTGTGTGTGTCTGTGTGTGTCTGTGTGTGTGTATGTTTGTGTGTGTGTGTATGTTTGTGTGTCTGTGTGTGTGTGTATGTTTGTGTGTGTGTGTCTGTGTGTGGGTGTATGTTTGTGTGTCTGTGTGTGTCTGTGTGTGTGTCTGTGTGTGTCTGTGTGTGTGTGTGTCTGTGTGTGTGTCTGTGTGTCTGTGTGTGTGTGTATGTGTGTGTGTCTGTGTCTGTGTGTGTGTGTGTCTGTGTGTGTGTATGTTTGTGTGTGTGTGTGGTGTGTGTGTGTGTCTGTGTGTGTGTTGTGTGTGTGTGTGTATGTTTGTGTGTCTGTGTGTGTGTGTATGTTTGTGTGTATGTTTGTGTGTCTGTGTGTGTGTGTATGTTTGTGTGTCTGTGTGTGTCTGTGTGTGTGTGTGTGTGTGTGTGTGTGTGTGTGTGTGTGTGTGTGTGTCTGTGTGTGTGTGTGTGCGTGTGTGTGTGGTTTTTGTGTATGTTTGTGTGTCTGTGTGTTGTGTATGTTTGTGTGTCTGTGTGTGTGTGTATGTTTGTGTGTGTGTTGTGTCTGTGTTTTGTCTGTGTTGTGTGTGTATGTTTTGTGTGTGTGTGTATATGTTTGTGTGTGTGTATGTTTGTGTGTGTTGTGTATATGTTTTGTGTGTGTGTGTGTGTGGTGTGTGTATGTTTGTGTGTCCTGTGTGTGTGTGTGTGTGTTTTTGTGTGTATGTTTTGTGTGTCTGTGTGTGTGTGTGTATTTGTTGTTGTGTATGTTTTGTGTGTCTGTGTGTGTGTTGTTGTTGTGTGTCTGTTGTGTGTCTGTGTGTGTGTTGTTGTGTCTGTTGTGTGTCTGTGTGTGTGTATGTTTTGTGTGTCTGTGTGTGTCTGTGTTTGTGTGTGTGTGTGTGTGTCTGTGTGTGTGTGTGCGTGTGTGTTTGTGGGTGTGTGTTGTTTTTTTGTGTGTCTGTGTTTGTGTGTGTATGTTTGTGTTATGTTTGTGTGTCTGTGTTGTGTGTGTATGTTTGTTGTTTGTTTGTGTTCTGTGTGTGTGTCTTTTTGTGTGTTTCTCTGTGTGTGTGTGTGTGTTTTGTATGTTTATGTGTCTGTGTGTGTGTGTGTGTGTATGTTTATGTGTCTGTGTGTGGGGTGTGTGTTTGTCGTGTGTGTGTGTGTGTGTGTGTGTGTGTGTGTGTGTGTGTCTGTGTCTTTTGTCTGTGTGTGTGTTGTGTGTCTGTGTGTCTGTGGTGTCTGTGTGTCTGTGTGTGTGTGTGTGTGTGTTTTGTGTGTGTGTGTCTGTGTCTGTGTCTGTGTCTGTGTCTGTGTGTGTGTCTGTGTGTGTGTGTGTGTGTGTGTGTGTGTCTGTGTGTGTGTGTGTGTGTGTGTGCGTGAGTGTGTGTGTGTGTGTGTGTGTGTGTGTGTGTCTGTTTGTGTGTGTGTGTGTCTGTGTCTGTGTGTGTGTTGTGTGTGTGTGTGTGCGTGAGTGTGTGTGTGTGTGTGTGCGTGTGAGTGTGAGTGTGTGTGTGCGTGAGTGTGTGTGTGTGTGCGTGTGAGTGTGTGTGTGTGCGTGTGAGTGTGTGTATGTGTTTGTGTGTGTGTTGTCTGAGGCTCAGTGAATTCCAGGAAACCTGTTTGTAGATAACCGACTGACAGCGTTCAAAGAGGCCTCTTCATATCATAGCTATCTGCAGCTCTTCAGATCTGCTCCACAGCTACAGTTTATCTTTTGAGCGTTCTCTCGTGCTTACCTGAGCCTGCCTTTTGATGTCACATTAGTACATTGCTAATTGTCAGCCCTCAAAGTATTTAAATTGGAAGACTTTGTTCATTTGAAAGGCTTTTGCATCTGTTGAAGCTTTCTGACAACTGGGTTTGGCTTTGAGCACGTCAGGGAGGGATGTTCCTTTCTTGATTTAAATCATCACAAAACCTCCCACCCTAGAGTCATTAACTTCAAATAGAGTTATCAGTCAATCTGAGGCTTAATGTTGAAGTGAAGTGAAGTTGAAATAATTATAAACCTACATGGGAATTATATTGAAAGAAAAATACACAAAAACCGAAAAGTAATTTACTTCACAGAAAGCTTTATTAATTTTTTTTATGAAGGGCATTGGCATTGAGATGGTGGTGAATTCAAAACAAACTAATAAGACCAGTAAAAACTATTTAATTTAATTTTTCCTTCTGCACTTTTAATAAAAAACCCATCCACCCTTTAATCACTATTTGTTGTTTGTTTGTTTGCTATATGTGATGTTTTGATAGGAGATACGTTTGTATTTTGCCATGATTGTTGCTTTTCAATAGTTTCTTCTTGGGGTCAAAATGACCCCTGTTGGTAATCCAAGTTAGAGGCATGAGGGTTAATCACTGTGTTTGCATACCGCTCCAACAGATCCAACAGATCCAACAGATCCACAGATGATCCATTTACTCTCCCTCTTTCCTTCCAGCGCGACCTCAGAATCATATGACCTTGACCACGCCCACCATCGTGGCCCGCCCCCAGAAGCGGAAGATGACCGTGGCAACCTGCCTCTCGGCGAATGGAAAGCCTCAGAGCGTGATCAAGTGGGACACGAGGCTGAAGGGCGAAGCCACGTTCCAAGAGACGCAGAATGCCAACGGCACGGTGACCGTTAGGAGCAACTACGTGGTCGTGCCGAGCAGGGAGACACACAGACAGAAACTCACCTGCATCGTAACCTACCGCGACGAGAGGATGACTGACAGCATCGTGCTCAACGTGCAGTGTGAGTTATCACAGTTGTTTACATGTCAATCAATCAACCAATCAATCACATTTTCCCCAAAGGGAAATGTGGTTTCTGAGCAGGATTTACATGATAAATACACTATAACATACATTTACATTTACATTTTCGTCATTTAGCAGACGCTCTTATCCAAAGCCACTTACAAATTGGTGCATTCACCTTAGTTTTAGATTCCGTCTCTCACAGTTGAAGTGTACCTATGATAAAAATGACAGACCTCTACATGCTTTGTAAGTAGGAAAACCTGCAAAATCGGCAGTGTATCAAATACTTCTTCTCCCCACTGTGTGTATATATATATATATATATATATATATATATATATATATATATATATAGATAGATAGATAGATAGATAGATAGATAGATATTTTATATTATTTTTTATTTTATTATATATATATTTTTTTGGTAAGGGTGGGTAGAAGGATTACTTTATCCTATCCCAGGTATTCCTTAACGAGGTGGGGTTTCAAGTGTCTCTGGAAGGTGGTGAGTGACTCCGCTGTCCTGGCGTCGTGAGGGAGCTTGTTCCACCATTGGGGTGCCAGAGCAGCGAACAGTTTTGACTGGGCTGAGCGGGAACTGTGCTTCCGCAGAGGTAGGGGGGCCAGCAGGCCAGAGGTGGATGAACGCAATGCCCTCGTTTGGGTGTAGGGACTGATCAGAGCCTGAAGGTACGGAGGTGTCGTTCCCCTCACAGCTCCGTAGGCAAGCACCATGGTCTTGTAGCAGATGCGAGCTTCAACTGGAAGCCAGTGGAGTGTGCGGAGGAGCGGGGGTGACGTGAGAGAACTTGGGAAGGTTGAACACCAGACGGGCTGCGGCATTCTGGATGAGTTGTAGGGGTTTAATGGCACAGGCAGGGAGCCCAGCCAACAGCGAGTTGCAGTAATCCAGACGGGAGATGACAGGTGCCTGGATTAGGACCTGTGCCGCTTCCTGTGTAAGGCAGGGTCGTACTCTGCGAATGTTGTAGAGCATGAACCTACAGGATCGGGTCACCGCCTTGATGTTAACGGAGAACGACAGGGTGTTGTCCAGGGTCACGCCAAGGCTCTTTGCACTCTGGGAGGAGGACACAATGGAGTTGTCAACCGTGATGGCGAAATCATGGAACGGGCAGTCCTTCCCCGGGAGGAAGAGCAGCTCCGTCTTGCCGAGGTTCAGCTTGAGGTGGTGATCCGTCATCCACACTGATATGTCTGCCAGACATGCAGAGATGCGATTCGCCACCTGGTTATCAGAAGGGGGAAAGGAGAAGATGAATTGTGTGTCGTCTGCGTAGCAATGATAGGAGAGGCCATGTGAGATTATGTGATGATCTCTAGAGGAGTTTTGGGACACAGTCACCGTGGTGGTGTGATGATCTGTAGAGGAGTTTTGGGACACAGTCACAGTGGTGGTGTGATGATCTGTAGAGGAGTGTTGGGACACAGTCACAGTGGTGGTGTGATGATCTGTAGAGGAGTGTTAAGACACAGTCACACTGGTGGTGTGATGATCTGTAGAGGAGTAATGGGACAAAGTCACAGTGGTGGTGTGATGATCTGTAGAGGAGTAATGGGACAAAGTCACAGTGGTGGTGTGATGATCTGTAGAGGAGTGTTGGGACACAGTCACAGTGGTGGTGGGAATGGGAGATATACAGATGTAGGATCTTCATTTCATCACTCTTTTGTTGCTGAGAATTTTCCTGCACAGCAGGAAATGAAAACTTGTAGTTTATTCAAGGTTTTAAAAAGCATCTAAAGTTAGTAATTTCCCATTTTTAAATATCAGACTTGATTTTCCCTAACAAAAAGTGTATCAGCCCCTACAAAAATGTCCATTAATTATAATACACATAATAATTCACATTTCCTTGCTGCAGGATAATTTCCCTGCTGTAGCAAACTGTCTCAAATTAAGATCCTACATCTGTAAGGGCTTTTCCCTGATCCAAACGGAGCTGTACTGATCTGGCCTGGTTCTGAATCCACTGTAGTTGTTTGAACCATGCAGGTGAAGGACAATGTGAAAATATCTGTGTTAGTACGGTTCAGGTCGACCCTATGGTGTGAATCAGACAATACTGTACTATTCTGACACCATCTATCTGTCCCTGACAGATGAACCGGAGGTGAAGATTGAGGGCTTCGATGGTAACTGGTACCTGAACCGTCAGGACGTCAGCCTCACCTGCAACGCTGACGCTAACCCCCCTGTCACCGTCTACCAGTGGAAAGTGTAAGTCTCAACCTATTCATTCAGAGGACCTTCTGTTTACAGGTTCAGGTTGTCTGTTTGAAAGGGGTAGGGGGTACAAAGCAAGCTGGAAGTGTAGCTAACATACATTCTACAAAACTTGTTCAAGACTTAATGCACATTATTGTATGAAATCTATTTGTTTCATATACGTCATGAGAAACAGGCCCAAAGTTTGGAATTCATGATATTTGAACGAGTGGTCTGAAATGAGCCATTCTCCAAAACCCTGTTCAAGACTTAAAGACTTAATGCATGTTAATGCTGTAATGAAACTGCCACAAAGCGAAGTGTTTATATGAGAGGTCTGGTGAACCTCATTTATTCCACGTTGGTTCTCCAATCGGGGTTTTAAAAACATAAAGCAACAAGATATCTTTCCCTCTCCATCAATCTTTCATTAATTCATCTCAGTTTGATGATGAGGCTTGGAGATGAAGGGACAATAGGGCTATTAACAACAACACACAGACACATTATTGTTATTTAATTTTTTTTTATTTTACCCTCTTTTTCTCCCCAATTTCGATCTTGTCTCCTCGCTGTATCTCCGCAACGGGCTCGGGAGACGAAGGTCGATTCTATTTTATCTATAGTATCTAGTCTGTTTTATCTACAGTATATACACTACCAGTCAAAAGTTTGGACACACCTACTCATTCAAGGGTTTTTCTTGGTTTTTACTATTTTTTACATTTGTAGAATAATAGTAAAGACATCAAAACTATGAAATAACACATATGGAATCATGTAGTAACAGAAAAGTGTTCAACAAATCAAAATATATTTTATATTTGAGATTCTTCAAATAGTCACCCTTTGCCTTGATGACAGCTTTGCACACTCTTGGCATTCTCTCAACCAGCTTCACCTGGAATGCTTTTCCAACAGTCTTGAAGGAGTTCCCACATATGCTGAGCACTTGTTGGCTGCTTTTCCTTCACTCTGCCATTTGACTCATCCCAAAACATCTCAATTGGGTTGAGGTCGGGGGATTGTGGAGGACAGGTCATCTGATGCAGCACTCCATCACTCTCATTCTTGGTAAAATAGCCCTTACACAGCCTGGAGGTGTGTTGGGGCAATGTCCTGTTGAAAAACAAATGATAGTCCCACTAAGCCCAAACCAGATGCGATGGTGTACCGCTGCAGAATGCTGTGGTAGCCATGCTGGTTAAGTGTGCCTTGAATTCAAAATAAATCACCAACAGTGTCACAAGCAAAGGATCCCCACACCATAACACATCCTCCTCTATGCTTTACGGGGGGAAATACACATGCGGAGATCATCTGTTCACCCACACCACGTCTCACGAAGACACAGCGGTTTGAACCATAAATCTGAAATATGGATCTATTGTCCATTGCTCGTGTTTCATGGCCCAAGCAAGTCACTTCTTATTATTGGTGTCCTTTAGTAGTGGTTTCTTTGCTGCAATTTAACCATGAATGCCTGATTCACACAGTCTCCTCTGAACAGTTGATGTTGAGATGTGTATGTTACTTGAACTCTGTGAAGCATTTATTTGGGCTGCAATTTCTGAGGCTGGTAACTCTAATGAACTTATCCTCTGCAGCAGAGGTAACTCTGGGTCTTCCATTCCTGTGGCGGTCCTCATGAGAGCCAGTTTCATCATAGCGCTTGATGGTTTTTGTGACTGCACTTGAAGGAACTTTCAAAGTTCTTGACATTTTCTGCATTGACTTACCTTCATGTCTTAAAGTAATGATGGACTGTTGTATTTCTTTGCTTATTTGAGCTGTTCTTGCCATAATATGGACTTGGTCTTTTACCAAATAGGGCTATCATATTAGATATAGATATAGGTATGTACAGTGGGGAGAACATGTATTTGATACACTGCCGATTTTGCAGGTTTTCCTACTTACAAAGCATGTAGAGGTCTGTCATTTTTATCATAGGTACACTTCAACTGTGAGACACGGAATCTAAAACAAAAATCCAGAAAATCACATTGTATGATTTTTAAGTAATTAATTTGCATTTTATTGCATGACATAAGTATTTGATCACCTACCAACCAGTAAAAATTCCGGCTCTCACAGACCTGTTAGTTTTTCTTGAAGAAGCCCTCCTGTTCTCCACTCATTACCTGTATTAACTGCACCTATTTGAACTCGTTACCTGTATAAAAGACACCTGTCCACACACTCAATCAAACAGACTCCAACCTCTCCACAATGGCCAAGACAAGAGAGCTGTGTAAGGACATCAGGGATAAAATTGTAGACCTGCACAAGGCTGGGATGGGCTACAGGACAATAGGCAAGCAGCTTGGTGAGAAGGCAACAACTGTTGGCGCAATTATTAGAAAATGGAAGAAGTTCAAGATGACGGTCAATTACCCTCGGTCTGGGGCTCCATGCAAGATCTCACCTCGTGGGGCATCAATTATCATGAGGAAGGTGAGAGATCAGCCCAGAACTACACGGCAGGACCTGGTCAATGATCTGAAGAGAGCTGGGACCACAGTCTCAAAGAAAACCATTAGTACACACTACACCGTCATGGATTAAAATCCTGCAGCACACGCAAGGTCCCCTTGCTCAAGCCAGCGCATGTCCAGGCCCGTCTGAAGTTTGCCAATGACCATCTGGATGATCCAGAGGAGGAATGGGAGAAGGTCATGTGGTCTGATTAGACAAAAATAGAGCTTTTTGGTCTAAACTCCACTCGCCGTGTTTGGAGGAAGAAGAAGGATGAGTACAACCCCAAGAACACCATCCCAACCGTGAAGCATGGAGGTGGAAACATCATTCTTTGGCAATGCTTTTCTGCAAAGGGGACAGGACGACTGCACCGTATTGAGGGGAGGATGGATGGGGCCATGTATTGCGAGATCTTGGCCAACAACCTCCTTCCCTCAGTAAGAGCATTGAAGATGGGTCGTGGCTGGGTCTTCCAGCATGACAATGACCCGAAACACACAGCCAGGGCAACTAAGAAGTGGCTCCGTAAGAAGCATCTCAAGGTCCTGGAGTGGCCTAGCCAGTCTCCAGACCTGAACCCAATAGAAAATCTTTGGAGGGAGCTGAAAGTCCGTATTGCCCAGCGACAGCCCCGAAACCTGAAGGATCTGGAGAAGGTCTGTATGGAGGAGTGGGCCAAAATCCCTGCTGCAGTGTGTGCAAACCCGGTCAAGACCTACAGGAAACATATGATCTCTGTAATTGCAAACAAAGGTTTCTGTACCAAATATTAAGTTCTGCTTTTCTGATGTATCAAATACTTATGTCATGCAATAAAATGCAAATTAATTACTTAAAAATCATACAATGTGATTCTCTGTATTTTTGTTTTAGATTCCGTCTCTCACAGTTGAAGTGTACCTATGATAACAATTACAGACCTCTACATGCTTTGTAAGTAGGAAAACCTGCAAAATTGGCAGTGTATCAAATACTTGTTCTCCCCACTGTATATTAGAAATAGGCATGCATATTAGATATAAGATATACAGTGCCTTGCAAAAGTATTCATCCCCCTTGGCGTTTTTCCTATTTTGTTTCATTACAACCTGTAATTTGAAATTGATTTTTATTTGGATTTCATGTAATGGACATACACAAAGTAGTCCACATTGGTGAAGTGAAATAAAAAAAATTACTTGTTTCAAAAAATTCTACAAAATAAATTACGGAAAAGTGGTGCGTGCATATGTATTCACCCCCTTTGTTATGAAGCCCCTAAATAAGATCTGGTGCAACCAATTACCTTCAGAAGTCACATAATTAGTTCAATAAAGTCCACCTGTGTGCAATCTAAGTGTCACATGATCTGTCACATGTTCTCAGTATATATACACCTGTTCTGAAAGGCCCCAGAGTCTGCAACACCACTAAGCAAGGGGCACCACCAAGCAAGCGGCACTATGAAGACGAAGCAGCTCTCCAAACAGGTCAGGGACAAAGTTGTGGAGAAGTACAGATCAGGGTTGGGTTATAAAAAAATATCAGAAACTTTGAACATCCCACGGAGCACCATTAAATCCATTATTAAAAAATGGAAAGAATATGGTACCACAACAAACCTGCCAAGAGAGGGCCTCCCACCAAAACTCAATGACCAGGCAAGGAGGGCATTAATCAGAGAGGCAACAAAGAGACCAAAGATAACTCTGAAGGAGCTGCAAAGCGCCACAGCGGAGATTGGAGTATCTTCTTTGGTTATTTACTACATGATTCCATATGTGTTATTTCATAGTTTTGATGTCTTCACTATTATTCTACAATGTATTCTTTTTTTTTTTATATATAGACAAATCCTTGAATGAGTAGGTGTGTCCAAACTTTTGACTGGTAGTGTAGTATTATTTATCAACAGTAACTAATATTTTTTATGTACAGTATCTAGTCTCTTTTATCTGCAGTATCTAATCTATTTTATCTACAGTATCTAGTCCCTTTCATCTACAGTATCTAGTATTTTTTATCTACATTATATAGTCTATTTTATCAGTGTCTACCCTCATACAGGTAGATATTTCAGTGTCTACCCTCATACAGGTAGATGTCTCAGTCTCTACCCTCATACAGGTAGATGTCTCAGTCTCTACCCTCATACAGGTAGATGTCTCAGTCTCTACCCTCATACAGGTAGATGTCTCAGTCTTTACCCTCATAGTGTTTCTTGCCTGTGTGTCCTTCAGAGGGGAATCGTAAAAGCATGGCTTTGTCATCAGTGAGGGAGGGAGGGAGGGAGGGAGGGAGGGAGGGAGAGAGGGAGAGAGGAGAGAGAGAGAGATAGAGAGAGAGAGAGCTAAGACTGACGAGCATCAGAGACGATGATCGAGCTCTGATCTCTATTCTCTATCTACAAGTCTACGTCATCCTCGTATAGAATTGTGCAGTTTGGAGCCCATGATCAGGACTGCATGCCTAAGAGCTGACATCAGTACTTTGCCTTTCAAATGATCAGTGTTGGGGCTGCAGAATACACACACACACACAGTATGTTGAGATGGAGAAGGATAAATGTGTTTTTCAAGGCCAGAGGTGCCCCTCTCAGTAAACAATGCTGGGTTTGATCCACACTAACCAACTGTGTATATGTTGGCTATGTGAGCACAAACAATAATCTACCAACAGTCCAAATATCAAGCTCTGTGACATCACAGAAACACAATTTAAATGTACCAACGCCCTCATCCGGCTGTCCTCTCTGGCTCTACGTAGTACAACACTTCTGACAACAGAGGAGTTTTGCCTAAACCATCTTTATCTGGGTTGAAAAGGAGAGGAACGGGGCCTCCCAAGTGGTACAGCGGTCTAAGGCACTGCATCTCAGTGCTTGAGGCGTCACTACAGACCCGGGTTCGATCCCAGGCTGTATCACAACCGGCCGTGACCGGGAGTCCCATTTGGCAGCGCACAATTGGCCCAGCATCGTCCGGGTTAGGGGAGGGTTTGGCCCAGCATCGTCCAGGTTAGGGGAGGGTTTGGCCCAGCATCGTCCGGGTTAGGGGAGGGTTTGGCCCAGTGTCGTCCAGGTTAGGGGAGGGTTTGGCCCAGTGTCGTCCAGGTTAGGGGAGGGTTTGGCCCAGCATCGTCCGGGTTAGGGGAGGGTTTGGCCCAGTGTCGTCCAGGTTAGGGGAGGGTTTGGCCCAGCATCGTCCGGGTTAGGGGAGGGTTTGGCCCAGCATCGTCCAGGTTAGGGGAGGGTTTGGCCCAGTGTCGTCCAGGTTAGGGGAGGGTTTGGCCCAGCATCGTCCGGGTTAGGGGAGGGTTTGGCCCAGTGTCGTCCAGGTTAGGGAGGGTTTGGCCCAGTGTCGTCCAGGTTAGGGGAGGGTTTGGCCCAGTGTCGTCCAGGTTAGGGGAGGGTTTGGCCCAGTGTCGTCCAGGTTAGGGGAGGGTTTGGGCCCAGTGTCGTCCGGGTTAGGGGAGGGTTTGGCCCAGTGTCGTCCGGGTTAGGGGAGGGTTTGGCCCATCATCGTCTGGGTTAGGGGAGGGGTGTGGGAGAGAGAGGGAGATAGAGGGAGGGAGGGTCGGGGTGGGGGAGAGAGAGGGAGGGTCGGGGTGGGGGAGAGAGAGGGAGGGAGGGTCGGGGTGGGGGAGAGGGAGGGAGGGTCGGGGTGGGGGAGAGAGAGGGAGATTTCCTGACTTTCTGCTTTCAGAACACTGATACCCAGCCAGCCACACAGTGGGAGGTAGGGCAGATAGAGAGGACTGATACCCAGCCAGCCACACAGTGGGAGGTAGGGCAGATAGAGAGGACTGATACCCAGCCAGCCACACAGTGGGAGGTAGGGCAGATAGAGAGGACTGATACCCAGCCAGCCACACAGTGGGAGGTAGGGCAGATAGAGAGGACTGATACCCAGCCCAGCCCACAGTGGGAGGTAGGGCAGATAGAGAGGACTGATACCCAGCCAGCCACACAGTGGGAGGTAGGGCAGATAGAGAGGACTGATACCCAGCCAGCCACACAGTGGGAGGTAGGGCAGATAGAGGAGACTGATACCCAGCCACCACACAGTGGGAGGTAGGGCAGTATAGAGAGGACTGATACCCACCAGCCACACAGTGGGAGGTAGGGGGCAGATAGAGAGGACTGATACCCAGCCAGCCACACAAGTGGGAGTATGGGCAGATGAGAGGACTGATACCCAGCCAGCCCATCACAGTGGGAGTAGGGCAGATAGAGAGGACTGATACCCAGCCAGCCCACAGTGGGAGGTAGGGCAGATAGATAGGACTGATACCCAGCCAGCCACACGTGGAGGTAGGGCAGATAGAGAGGACTGATACCCAGCCAGCCACACAGTGGGAGGTAGGGCAGATAAGAGGACTGATACCCAGCAGCCACACGTGGGAGGTAGGGCAGATAGAGAGGACCTGATACCCCCAGCCACACGTGGTGAGGTAGGGCAGATAGAGAGGACTGATACCACCGCCACACAGTGGGAGGTATGGCAGATAGAGAGGACTGATACCCAGCCACCCACACAGTGGGAGGTAGGGCAGATAGAGAGGTACTGATACCCCAGCCGCCACACAGTGGAGGTAGGGCAGATAGAGAGGACTGATACCCAGCCCATCCACACATGGAGGTAGGTCAGATAGAGAGGACTGAATATACTAGGGATTTTATCACGGGGAAGAGGAGCTGGAGAGGAAGAGCGAGAGAGATGGAGAGGGTAGTATCTATATATTATAGATATATCTATATTCGACGAAGAGAGAGGAGAGGAGAGAGAAATGAGAGAGAGGGAGATGAGAGACAGGGGCGGAGGGAGAGAGAGAGAGCAGAGGCAGGCATGAGAGACCCTGTGTGACGAGAGAGGTAGTGGTCGCGATCGGAAGCAGGCAGACGGAGAGAGAGAGCTGGAGAGGGAAAGCTCTGATGAGTCTCGGAGAGCGCTCGTATTATCTTATTTCTATATCGCGCCTGCGCGCGCGCCCTCGCTCGCGCGCGCGCTCGGTCGTCTCCCTGCTCGCGCGGGCTGCCCCTTCTCTCTCCCCTGCTCTTGCGCTTCTTTCTTGCCGCCTGCTTCTTGGATGTTTGCGGCCGCTACATGGGGTGAAAGAAGGAGAGAGGGGACGATGATGTGTATAGACGAGGGGGCAGGCTGGGTGACAGATAGGAGGGCATTGCTGCGGTGGAACAAGGCTAAATGTGTTGTGAAGTTTCCCCTGGGCTGCTAGTGGAGGTCTGCACACATACACACACACACATATTCCTCAGTGGTGGAAAAAGTACCCAATTGTCATACTTGAGTAAAAGTAAAGATACCTTCATAGAAAATGACTCAAGTAAAAGTGAAAGTCACCCAGTAAAATACTACTTGAGTAAAAGTATTTGTTTTAAAAATACTTAAGTATCAAAAGTAAATTGAATTGCTAAAATATACTCAAAAGTATAAATCATTTAAAATGTATTATATTAAGCAAACCAGATGGCATCATTTTCTTGTTTTTTAAATTTACGGATAGCCAGAGGCACACACCAACTGAGTCACCCAGATCAGAGGCAGTAGGGATCACCGGGGATGTTCTCTTGATAACTGTGTGAATTAGACAATTTTCCTGTCCTGCTAAGCATAAAAAAAATACTTTTGGGTGTCAGGCAAAATGTATGGAGTAAAAAGTACATAATTTTCTTTAGGAATGTAGTGAAGTAAAAGTTGTCAAAGATATAAATAGTAAAGTACAGATACTGAACAGTATCACATTGAATCCATCCGTCTTTCTCCTCTAGTCTTTCAGTCCTGCAGTCGATCAATCCAGCTGGTATATATAGTAGACAGTATATACCCCTGGTTATTGAATACAGTATATAGTAGACAGTATATACCCCTGGTTATTGAATACAGTATATAGTAGACAGTATATACCCCTGGTTATTGAATACAGTATATAGTAGACAGTATATACCCCTGCTTATTGAATACAGTATATAGTAGACAGTATATACCCCTGGTTATTGAATACAGTATATAGTAGACAGTATATACCCCTGGTTATTGAATACAGTATATAGTAGACAGTATATACCCCTGCTTATTGAATACAGTATATAGTAGACACTATATACCCCTGGTTATTGAATACAGTATATAGGAGACAGTATAGACCCCTGGTTATTGAATACAGTATATAGTAGACACTATATACCCCTGGTTATTGAATACAGTATATAGTAGACACTATATACCCCTGCTTATTGAATACAGTATATAGTAGACAGTATATACCCCTGGTTATTGAATACAGTATATAGTAGACAGTATATACCCCTGGTTATTTAATATAGTATATAGTAGACAGTATATACCCCTGCTTATTGAATACAGTATATAGTAGACACTATATACCCCTGCTTATTGAATACAGTATATAGTAGACAGTATATACCCCTGGTTATTTAATATAGTATATAGTAGACAGTATATACCCCTGCTTATTGAATACAGTATATAGTAGACACTATATACCCCTGCTTATTGAATACAGTATATAGTAGACACTATATACCCCTGCTTATTGAATACAGTATATAGTAGACAGTATATATCCCTGGTTATTGAATACAGTATATAGTAGACAGTATATACCCCTGGTTATTGAATACAGTATATAATAGACAGTATATACCCCTGGTTATTTAATATAGTATATAGTAGACAGTATATACCCCTGCTTATTGAATACAGTATATAGGAGACAGTATATACCCCTGGTTATTGAATACAGTATATAGGAGACAGTATATACCCCTGGTTATTGAATACAGTATATAGGAGACAGTATAGACCCCTGGTTATTGAATACAGTATATAGTAGACAGTATATACCCCTGGTTATTGAATACAGCATATAGTAGACACTATATACCCCTGCTTATTGAATACAGTATATAATAGACACTATATACCCCTGGTTATTGAATACAGTATATAGTAGACACTATATACCCCTGGTTATTGAATACAGTATATAGTAGACACTATATACCCCTGGTTATTGAATACAGTATATAGTAGACAGTATAGACCCCTGCTTATTGAATACAGTATATAGTAGACACTATATACCCCTGCTTATTGAATACAGTATATAGTAGACACTATATACCCCTGCTTATTGAATACAGTATATAGTAGACAGTATATACCCCTGCTTATTGAATACAGTATATAATAGACAGTATATATCCCTGG